TGCGCTTTCATCATGCCACATTGCAATAAACGGACCGCTCTGAAACCTCGTTTCTGAAACCAGTGCAGGAAGGGAGTTGGCACTTGCGAAAGATGATTTAAGGCTTCTGTTGAACCTGGCTTTGCTGCCTGGCATTGCATACGTGATCGAACCGATCTCTGTTCGCAAAGCGTTCGAAATGACCATCGTGCATTGTTTGAGTGAGCAGAAAAAGAAAAGTAGTTTGTGCTTGGCGCCTGTCCCGTTACAATTTCCATGTCGAAATCCTTCGAATCAAGTTACCGAGCGTTATTGAACAGCTCGATAACAGATTGAACAAGAATTCTTGATTCCTTTTCAAGCATTTAAAAAAAAAATAATTATCGTTTTTAATACCATGTGTAGTACTGCGCAAGGTTTATCATGAATAATGACTTGAAAAATGATCAGAAGGTAAAATGTCATCGTTGAACGCCTGAACAAAGTGAATCCCTTAAAGGGTTCCTTATTTTTATGTAAGCTATAGCTAAGCCGCTAATTATTTATGAAACTTTGTTTGAATCAGATTTGTATTATTTCTCTCGTAATGTAATATGGAAACACTAAATTGTAAATCAGGTTTTTGTGCAGAGGTTTGTTCAAAACAAAGTGTATACGTATATTCCTTTTACGCAATGATAACAGGAAGTGGTGTGGTAGTAAAGCTCAGGGGAGGAGGGACCTCTGCTGTGAGGGGTAGACATGACTTGAGCTTTTGTTGCAGTTGTACAGCACAGCACATGGCATTATGATAAATCGTGACACTTTCATTACAACCTGATTATATTATCAACTAGTTACTCATACTGAGTGATTACCAACACATTACACTCGAAAAGGTGAGCGTAGTGTACACACAATCGATCTTACACTGGACTACCCGAGTGGCGAGGCCGGAAATTGAGTACTGGGTGGGCCAGGGTTGAACAGGGTGGGCAAAGGGTTGGAAAAGCAAGCTCAAACCCAAATGGCACTCCGAAGAACTGAAACGGTTGTAGAATGTGGCCAACCACCTACGTCACTTCAGTTCACACAGCACATAGTGCTGTCAACTTTCACACACACTCACACACACATGCAAAAACGTTGCCATTGATAGAGCAGATAAAGCCGCACATTTCCCAACCTATAGATTTAATCCGTGCACAATGATAATCTCATAAAACAAAGACCTGAAAAACGCTACTAACACGACGCATCACACAATGTTTTTTTTTTTTCGTCTTTTTACATTTCATTACAAAACAAGAACGACACTCTTTACTGTTTCGAATTCACGGCGATATATATATATATATTACAGGAATGAATCAGACAAGGTTGAATAAGTTTAATAAGAGTGCTGCTTCCTGCACATGAGTGAACAACCTAGCTAGGGTTAGGGTTAGGGTTAGGGTTAGGGCTAGGGTTAACCTCACAGATGTCGTAGGTAACCATTAGGTCCTGAGCAGAATTACAAATACAATTACACTCGAGTAGGCTTGGAGGCTTTGTTCAATGTTCTTCTTTCACCATGCGTACATATTCCTCTCCCTCTCCCTCTCCCTCTCCCAGCCAGTCTTCTTCCTCTGTTAGCCACTTCATCTCTGGCTCCATGTTTACATTACCGTATGTACATTATTCCTAAAATGTCCCCTTTTGTATACATGGTAATGAATTTGAAAGACTAACACCCCGGTAGGTGTTCAGCTACAACGCGGATCAGCTCTGGTCGGTCTAATCGTTTTGCAAGTGCTGGGTTTTGAACTAAAGTTGAGCAGTTTTGAAAAGAGTAGGCCTATGTAAATATGTGCAAATTGGCCCGTGGGTGAAAAGACTTTTGCTGATGGATGTGTTTAAGTGAGAAAAGAATTCATGTCATTCGAAAGATGTAGCCATGGAATGCACTTTGTACCAAAATGAATGAAAAACGATCCACAGTTTAGCCCATATAGACTGCGGCTGTGCTCGCTGGGTAAAGAGGTTTGAAAACGTGACTTAGGTATTGAGAAATAGGTCCTAGCGATTGTTAAAAAAATAACAAAAAAAAAACTGAGGGAAATGAAGTCAAATGAGGCGTGGCTCCTGCTTGGTTGGAATAAAAGCCTGCTCTTTGTGGATATGATCGAAAACCTCTGCTATAGACTATATAGGCTTACGACATTAAATTGCAAGGGAACCAATGAAATCAGGACAAAATATTGTTTCAGAACAAACCTAGACACGAAATCCTCAACAAACCGCAGTTCTGTTCTTTCAGAAGGTTTATATGGGATTATATGCTGTGACTCCACACCGTAATACTGAAATTTGTGATTGCATAAATCCAAACCCCCCTCCCCATTCCAAAGTACACAGTAAAAGGGGTCATGTGAGCCCAGTATGAACATACGTATTCCTAAATCTTAGAACATTCCCGCAAACAGCACCATGAGAACCAAGACCAAGGTGGTATCATGGACAACGTTCAGCCAGGGCTGGTTATACAAAAAAAAAACAACCTCTGAACATCCTGTAACGCAACTTTACTACTATTTTATTTATTTTTTTACGTTTAGCTCATTTAACGGTTATTTCATTAATCCCTAATACCTTTGACAAATCAGTTTTTATTCATTCATTTACTATGGATTTATTAATGACTTTTATTCCGCTGTACGCATGATTCTGTTCTGAAAATGTCACAGACACACGGGAGCCTTGCAACAGTAACGTTTAAAAAACAACAACAACAACAACAACAACAACAAAAAACAAAGCAAGAAAGCATTCCGAGCAGTAGTTAAAAGTGAATGTACATAGAGTCTAAGATGAACCGACTAAGACAAGAAAAACATTAAACATCAACAACAGTCCCTGCATGCTAATGAGGGCCAGCACACCCACGTTTTCTCCACTGCATGCGGAAACCACACTTAAACAATTCCTGCTGTATACTCAGTTCGCATCAAAGCTAGAACAAATATATGGTTACATTTCAAAGCTAAACGTTTCACACGATGACTTTTGGAACTGGAAAAGAAATATTTCTGTTGCAAACGAGGTAGTTCTCACGGGATTCTCTCATCTCATCAGATGCGAGCTCTCGGATGTAGTAATAAATAACCCGCGTAAAATATTGTATTTTAGATGCTTGTGAAATGTTTCATTTGGAATGAATGTCATACCATCGGTATAAACGAACCACTTCAGTGGAATGTTGCTCTGCAGATATTATGCAATATATTACGAATAGTCATATTTTTGCATAATTATTTTGGAAGATGTCGTCTTGTACTCGTGCGTCTTTGCTCCACAGCTCTGCTCAGTCTTCTCTGTGTAACTGATGTCTATCTGTGCTTGGCAGCAATGGAAAAAAATATATATATCTTTTTTTTGTTGCCCTTCCAGCTATCACGAAAGAGCTCTGATAAATGACTCTACGGTGTCATGATGTCTTCCACGAACGCCTCATATACAGAGGTCATCAATTCCAACTGTACGAATAAAACTGCATATGACCAGTGGAAAGACAGCATGAATACGCTCTACACCTACGTCTACGTGTTCATCTTCATCCCAGGCTTGATAGGGAACAGCCTTGCTCTCTGGGTGCTGTGTCGCTTTATAAGGTCAGTTTTTTTTTTCCTCGTTTTTTTCTTAAATTGCTTTCTCATGATTCTTCTCAAACATATTAAAGATCTGCTGCGTGAACTACTTCACGCACCCAAGACTTACTTGATGACTGTAAACCTGACTACGCCTCCTAATAACATTTTGACTCATGATGCTCGAGACACTTCATTAATTACACTATCATTTATGAGAAAGTCACTCGGTTGCTTCTATGATTTACAGCAAGAAGACCAAAGCCATCATCTTCATGATCAACCTGGCCATTGCTGACCTGGCCCATGTCCTGTCCCTGCCACTGCGCATCTACTACTACATAAACCACACCTGGCCTTTCGGAAAGGGGCTGTGCTTGCTCTGCTTCTACCTGAAATATCTCAACATGTACGCTAGCATTGCCTTCCTGGTCTGCATCAGTATCCAACGGTGTGCCTTTCTGATGCGCCCCTTTTGTGCCAGACGGTGGCTGCGGCGCTACGATGTTCGCATTAGCGTAGCTGTGTGGTTGGTGGTCGGTTTATGCTGCACCCCTTTCATCTTGATGAGAAGCTCCTCGTCAGACAAAAAGAAAAACGAAACCTGCTTCAAGGACTTGCCGACGCGGAAGCTGGACCTGGGAAAGGCAGTGGCCATAATGTCATTCGCCGAGCTCCTGGGCTTTGTGGTCCCACTGACCATCATCATCTTATGCTCCTACTTCATCATTCAATCGTTGAAGCAGAGCTCGAGGCCTGGTGTTTCAGTCAACGACGTGAGAAAGGCCCTGCGCATGGTCTTAGTGTGTACCGGCGTGTTCCTTTTCTGTTTCGCCCCCTACCATATCAACTTCTTAATGTACATGATGGTGTCTCAGGGCCTCATTACCCACTGTCCTTTGCAAGACGCGGTTAACAAGTTCCATCCAATCTCACTGTGCATTGCCAGCCTCAACTGCTGCCTGAACCCACTCATATACTACTTCCTGACCACAGAGTTCCAGCAGCAGCTCAGTCGCCAGGGCAGCTCTATATTAAGAGGGCGGCTGATGAGTATGGAGAGCACCTCTTCATATAGAGAAGCGCTTCCCTGATGGCCATGGAGAGCACTTCCTCCTACAGAAAAGCACTTCTTTGAGGAACATAGCGAGGACCTCCTCCCACAGAGAAACACTTCCCTGATGAGCATGAACAGCACCTTTGTATAGAGACAAGAACTTCCTGATGAAGAGGTGGAGAATGATAATGATAATGATGATGAGACTTTATTGGTCACATATACAGTGACCAATACACAGTGATAGCCTACCCCACCCTGTCAGAAAGCTGGGGTCAGAGCGCAGGGTCAGCCATGATACCGCACCCCTGGAGCGGAGAAGGTTAAGGGCCTTGCTCAAGGGCCCAACAGTGGTACCTTGGCAGTGCTGGGACTTGACCCCCGACCTACTGATCAGTAACTAAGAGCCTTAACCGCTAAGCCACCACTGCCCCACAGAACACCAAAAAAGAGAGAGTGAGAGAGATGATGTCATGATTGAAGTACAACACAAAAGGAATTAAGAGAAAACATTTTTGCAACGAACAATAAAACTAAAGAAATACTGTGACTAGATTAAGCTCAGATATTGACTGTTTAGCTGCTGAAAAGTAAACACACCAACAAACAAACACATCAACAAACAAACAAAGTCTTGTGCAAGAACCGTATAGGAACAAATCGACAGTATTCTTCACCATATCGTCATACTGCGTCACTGTGCGTCACAAAGACAGACACAGGAAACCACAAGACCAAAGCCAGACATGGTCAGATTCACCTGATATATCATATTCAAAAAAACAGTTCTGCTTTAAAATACATGGCTTTAAAGGACTTTTCCATATTCCAATCCATTGCACCCTTTAAAGGGCTTGAAAGACAAATGGCATTAATAAGCAACCCTGATCAAATGTGCTCTGAATATTGCACGCGTATAAACGAGCGTGCTGTAAATAAGGACTTGTAGAAAGTATATATGCTTCCAATAATACAAAGCTGAATATAGTCATATCTTGTGTCATAAAATCACTGACAGTAGTGTATTGAAATCGAAATGGAGTCATTTTGATGTCATATTAATGTCTTGCTCATGTATTGAAAAAGCAGTTAAAATTGCACAACGATCTTTATCTGAAACGATGGAGCGAAACTGAAATGGTTGTAAGCATCAGTGTAAATAAAAATCAAGCAGTGCATGGTTAACATCATCCTCTTCCAGATTGTTTGTCATATAATATGTCATTCCTCATCCGACGTATTAATCCACCTGTGATAAAATCACACGTGGGTTCTTCATTAGCGCTCAATGGTCAGCTTCTAATCTTGTGCAGGTTCCCCGAGTGTATTTTCCACCAACCTGTCGCAGGAGATGAGCCCAAAGTTCAAAAGAAAGTGAGATATTACTGATCTTTGCTGTGACTCACTCATCCGCCTGTTGTTTTGCTTCGTGTACATGTACGTATCGTAACATGTGCAACTGGAGGAAATGTGTGGGCAAACCATGCACACTGCTGAAATGTGCCATATTTCACTTCATACTGTCTTGGACTGACTGAGTAAAGTAAGCTCATGCATGTAACAGCTGAACACGAGCCAAGCCTTGAGGTTTACAGTTCAACTGTCACTTCACAAGCACACACACACACACACACACACACACACACACACTGGTCAAATAATGAACTTGGTTTGCTCACATGCACCATATTGACACAGTAAACAGTGGTGTTATATAGATATAAATGTGTCTGTGTTACTGAATAATGTACTATTCAGTAACAATGAATGAACATATTGCAAGAGAAAGGACCCTGTGTGAGTTCCAGAGGGTTTAAAGGGTTAAACAATATCTAACAACATATAGTTTAACCATGTTAAGCTGCTATGAAGTGCTCTGTCTACAACAGATGACAAAATGACACATGGCCACCCTTATCACTGACTTTTAATTCAACTGTGGCATCTTCAAGCTGCTTGACGGACCTCCAAAGAAGTCACACGGCCGTTGATGATATGTTTTCGATCCTATTGTGTCATGTCAAACCACTGTCAAGGCTATACAATATACAATATAGCCACAAAGTTTACAGATGAAACAAATGATGATCTGAAAGTGTCTTACAGTTTAAAAAAAGAAAGAGAGAGAGAAAAAAAAAAAACTCTTTCATTTTCACTTCTGCCTACCTCCTGTGAGCAAAATAATTGCTCAACATGAAAGGTATAATGAGATATCTGTCACACTGATCGTTTTAGCTGATTCTCGGAAATAACCCGACGGCTTGAAAATAAAATAAAAAAGTATAATATTAACTGTAATAAACACGTCTGTTCCAATAACGTTCCACTGCAATCGGTGTATCAGAAGACATACTAGGTGAGAAATAAACGATGAAATACATGTGACATATGGCCAACCTGAACATCACACCCATTTATGGTTCTTTCCCAAACTGCTGCTATAAAGTTGGAAGCAAGCAGTTATATAAAATGTCTTTGTATGCTGTAGCATTATGTTGACAAGTAAAGTCCAAAAAGTCACAAAGTGAGGTCCATGAAAACATGGACCAACATATCAAGGTTAGAGTGCAAATCTCGAATCTTTCAGCAGGCTAATCGTTCAGGAGCGGTTTGAGGAACATGACAAAGAGTTCAAGGTTGTTGACTTGACCTCCAAATTCCCCGAATCTCAATCCCATCGAGCACCTGTCGGTTAGGCTGGACAAACAAGTCTGATCCATGGAGACCCAATCTTGTAATTTACAAGACTTAAAGGATCTGCTGCTAATGTCTTGGTGCCAGATACCACCGCACACCTTCATAGGTATTGTGGAGTCCATGCCTCAAAGGGTCAAAGCTGTTTTGGTGGCACAAGGAGTACGTACACAATATTAGGCAGGTGGTTTATGGCTGAACAGTGTATATACAGTAATGCTTGAAAATTTTAATTTTCTGAGAAAGAGGGGGAGGGGTAATATACAAAGAGTTACATTGTGTCTTTATCAAATACAAGTCTTTAGGCGCAGTGTCTATGGCAATGGATTTAAAAAAAAATAAAATAAAGGTTAATTGTATTTGAGCCAGGAAAATATGCATGAACGTTTCCCTATTACTGGAACATAATTCAAGCTTGTAGAGCATGGATGTCAAACGTACGGCCCGCTAGAGGGTTCAATCCGGCCCGCAGGACGAATTTTGAAAGTGAAAAAAAAAAAATATGCATAAAAGACACGACCTTGTCATTTTTAATAAAAATGCTATTCTTAAATTTTCCGCTAGGGGGTAAAAGACGCGGCACATCTCTGGACTGAACAGCAGATGGCAGCAATGCGACGTCTGCTGTTTGTTATCACGGAGTAGTCTACTCTATTTTCTACTCGTCCCCACACCCTCATTAACCAAAATGTCTGCCAAAAAGCAGAAAAGTGGATACAGAGTGTATAGTTTTACATGAAAAATGGACCGCTCCCTATTTATTCACAGAGATGAATGGGTAATAGTTAAAAAAAAAAGAGAGTTTGGTTTGGTGGAATCCTATTGTTCATGCAATGCCATAAATTTTAAAGTGAAATACTATATTTTTCAGTTCCGAATACCTGTGAAGTTTTTTTTTTTTTTTTTTTTGTACAAACACTGTGAGCAGTTGTAATGCACATATATGTGAATGATAATCAGAAGCAAATTGCAGATTTGTTTTAAGAAATCTGAGGTTGCTCATGATATAGTTTATAAAAGGATATTTCATTAAATATAAATGTCTTTGCATGAAAACAAAGGTAAAAACAGGGACTTGTTATTTATAGGTGATTATACTATGATTTTACTGGCCCGGCCCACTTGACATCTAATTAGGCTTTATGTGACCCCTGAACTAAAATGAGTTTGACACCACTGATGTAGAGGCTAAGGTATTACATTATAGCTGTAAGGACCTGCAGTGACATCTTGTGGTTGAAATAAAGAAGACTTCCAAAAATGAGTCCTGAGTTGTTCTGAGAGTCAGTAGGGCTGGTGAGGGAATAATCCTACCATTCACGTTCTATTTACAACGCAAATATAAGTCATACACATACCCTTACTTTAATAAATGAACAAGAATTATTCGTTAATCGATCTGCTTTTTCCTGGTCAGGTTTATGGTAATAATTGTGTAATGAATAAATTTCAATGCATCCTAAAGTGTTTATTTATAACTCTTATACCACAAACAATTTGCTACCGGTTAAACTTTGTATTAATTAAAGAATCATACAATCTTTTATCAGGTTATAGTTAATGGTGTGGAATGTCTGCAAAACGAGTTAGCTCCTGTTATCACTCAACAACGCTATAGGCAGTTGTTCCTGCACCATAGGTTCCCTCACTTATCTCTCGGAGTTACTAAGACTAAAAACAGAGCGGCTTGTCGTGATACTGAGGAACCGTAAACTGTAAAGTCCTCTATTTCGAAGACTTTCCCCTAGTCCAAACGTGCTGAAGTGCTAACACAGGTGACTCCTTCCATACAACATTACAAACAAACAACAACAACAATCATCATCATCATCATCATAATACAATTTTATTTATTTATCCATCCATCCATCTTCTACTGCTTATTTCTTTTCAGGGACACGGGGAACCTGGACCTTATCCCAGAGAGCATCAGGCACGAGGCGGGGTACACCCTGGACAGGGTGCCAGTCCATCACATACACACTCACACACCCATTCAAACACTATGGACACTCTAGACACGCCAATCAGCCTACCGTGCATGTCTTTGGACTGGGGGAGGAAACCGGAGTACCCGGAGGAAACCCCCACAGCACGGGGAGAACATGCAAACTCCTCACACACACACAGGGCCCCGGAAGGACTCAAACACCCGCCCCTGGAGGTGTGAGTCGAACGTGCCAACCATTAAGCCACCTAATACAATTTTAGTATATCAAAAAAAAACCTTAAAATATAAACAGTTATGCATTTCTTTGTTATGAAAACATTTTAAAACGAGCTATTTTTTTCCATCGATGATGTTGAGTGTCCATTATACAAGTCCCAGTGAATGAGCTGTTACTATAGAAACAATAACATACTACAAATAAGACTTAAGTGCACTGAACACTTTTAGTAAAATCGTCTCTCTCTGCAACAGAAGGTTTCGCTTTCGGAGTGGGTTTGAGTTTGGAGTTATATCCCCCGTATGAATTAAAGCAGCAGTTAGAGTAATTATTAAAGGAACATTTCAGGAAGCCCCTTTTTTGATTTAAAGTACACCGCCCTCGTAATGTAAGTACACATTCATGGCTCGGTATCAGAGATGTTTCTTTTACTAAGTGATAGGAAACATGTAAAAGCATCTTTCAAACAAGGAAGAAATGGGTATCAAGAAATAGCAGAAGTATGGGAGTTTGAGCAAGCGTCACGTCCCTCAGTGAACGCCCCCACAGCGAGGCAGGAAACTCTATCAG